ATTCAGACAACAAAAATGCAGAAAATGTTAATGTGATATTGCACCACTATTTCACTGATATATAACTTTTTCAATATTTTACATTCCCAATATAAAATATGTGTGACTGATATATTAGCAACATGATGAGAAACAACTAATGTCTTCCAAATATTCTACATGGATATTGCGTTCGCATTGAAACATTGAAGCCCAATAAATCCTTAATATACCTATATCACCTAGTGATATTCGATACCAATATTTCGAAAATGTTACAATATTGATCGAATATTTATAATTCAATATAAAGATAATTTTGCAAAATGTTCATATCTTTTATTTCGGACTAGAATGGTGGGCAAATATATACATTCAATAACGTATTCACCCATCAAAACTATAAGAAACCGGTTCCTAGAATTTGGCATCATATCTTGGTCCTATATATTGTATATACGAATATTTGATAAAACATATCGAAACAGAATTTGATTTCAACGTAATACCAAGATCGCAGAATGTCCACATGATTCATTGATCCAATATTTGAATAGTTATTTCTCCAACATTCACTCCATATTGGTTCAATATTCATAAATATTAGTGTTCTACCTGAAGGGGTTGAAGAGAACATGAAAGAGATCAATTTTTTTATCAGAAACGTCATGAAACGTCTACTCCCTTTTACATCAATATTCACTTCACTTTTTAATTCCATCGATAAGTGCCGAGATATGATCGTTCTTGACATACTCATGTGAAAACGAGAAAAGTCTATGAAAATTCCTCGCCATACTTGATTAAAATTTGTATCTACTAAACTAACCAAAAATGTTCAACACATAACAGTTCATAATAATACATGAATTAATTTAGGCATATTCTCTTGAACGGAATGAGAGCAAAACCAAGTGAGAACCTGACATTCATCATTTTTTTTAGTTCCCGGTGTGATATTGAAACCTTGATAGGTGGTCATGAACTGAGAAATACTAATTATGTCAGTAAAATTGTATGCAGAACTTGAAAATCCTTGGCCAACTTTGATACCTTGATTGAAATTTTTATTCCTGTCCACAATACTTCCGTTCCGTTGTGTGAGTAAGAAAGGATATGAAAAATCATATTAGAATAAACTCTTCTGGATATTTCAAGGAGAGGAAGACAGAAAAAAAAGAGAATTAAAGTTGACAACTTCTGGCATCATGATACGTTCGCCTATAAGAATCTCTCTGAAGTATTAGGTATAGGTATATTTCGTTCAAAAAAAGCATCTTCTGCTTTAACAGTTTTATTTGAAAAAGAATTCCTTTTCCATTTCCAATTTCCTCACGATTCTGTCTAAATTGGGTGTATTCAATCTACTTATGCAATTACCCATAAGTTGCTGAATTCAGACTCTTTTAGATTTGAAAACAAGAACTATAGCCACTACAATGCCGGTTGACTTATAACAAGTTGACGAAAAAATTCAAAGAATATTGATGTTTCCTGTGAAAATTCTGATAAGGCGGTGAACTTTCTCATATTGTTTTTTCCTCGGTGAAAATCATCGTAAATATATTGGTGGACCTATTCGATGAAACCTTGTACATCTCAAAACAGTTTGTCTTCTGATAATGCTCATACTAATGGGCAAGGTTACAGAATATAATTTTCTGCCAAAAGTTTCCCTCTAATTTCGAATACGCACCAGAAGATTTCATAAAGGAATTCACGAGTCACTTCAATTATGTGCCTACTCTTGTGTTTTTCCGTAGCACGAGAAAATAACAATGCTTTTGACGTTGTATATCTCTCCGATCTTTCAGCTCTGACACTCTCCAATGATTTCGTTAAAATTTGTAGAATTTATTCAGTGTGTCCAACCAAGAGTAGATATCCTGAAAACTCTAGTGACAATAAATTGGAATGAACGATATACCCAAGGTTAAAAATGTTGATGAATTTTCAGAGATTATTTTCAGAAAATCAATTTCTTCGATATCAAATGCTCCCAATCGTTTATTATCAATGTTGAAAGAACCACCTTGATACTTCTTCCGAAATGTCAAATTTCTGGAACCATATTTTTTTTTTCTTATAGTATGATCAGAATAACTATCTTGACTTGACCACATTTTCAAAACACTGTGTATAGAAGACCAACTATATGTGTGTGAATCACTAACAAAACTTAGCTGAACTGTCTATTCTAGAGTTGATGTGGAGTTCTATGGTAAAAACCACCAATACGTTTTTTGGTGATTTTTTCGAACTCTTCGATTCAGATTTTCACACAAAATTGATACTTAAGTGTGAGTATGATCACTTTTTTACTGACAAAATTATGTACCTATACAAATCTCAATGTACTTTCGATAAATCAATTCAGAAAATTGTAAATTTGATAGGTACTCGATACAATGAAAAAAATATAATAATACCTACATGTGATTGAAAATATCATTTCTTTTTGGAATTTCAATTCCCTGTGTTTCCTATATGAACATGCATTTTTGGTACATCCTGTGTAAGTCATCATTTACTTGTTGCTGCCACTTTATCATCTGCGAATGACAAAAAACTAAGCAATTCCACACAAATACATACCCTGCCGCGTTGTCTCTAATTCACTTCAAATTATCATTCTCACTGAATAAATAATAATCAGTTCCGAGGATTCTCCTCAATATCTTACTGATTATTCAACGGACGTAAGAACACTCATAATCTTTAAATTTATGGAATTTAGATCCTTACTAGATATCCCAAAAAATCCTAAAATGTGTTTCAAGACTTTGAAATAAGTGATTTGAATGAGAACACTCATAATCTTTAAATTTATGGAATTCAGATCCTTACTAGACATCCCAAAAAATCCTAAAATGTGTTTCAAGACTTCGAAATAAGTGATTTGAATATCAAATTTGAATTCTCGGAAGACGAATGAAATGGCAGCTGGTCGTATGACCAACATTACGTCTCTCAAGCTGTGAAAATCAATGGGTCTGCACCAAACAAAAATTGTTGCATTAGCAAAAGTTATTGATCAAGTGCGGCGTATATTAGGACGTGCGGGTAAATTATATCATCATTTTTATTTTCATTCAACAAAATACTTTGTCGAATCTGAATGCAGTTTTAGTGAAAGAATGAGATTTGCCATTGACTAAAAAGATTATTTTGTTATATTAAGAAATATATATTGCTAATGGAACAAACTTACATTCTTAGAAACTGATAAATTGGTGACTTGAAATCAAATCATGTTCCATCCAAGGTTCCATCAGTTTTGTACTTGATGATTTCATCAAAGGAGATAGGAGCAAAATATCCTTTGCTCATTGCACAAATTATCCCTATTGAATTGAATCAATAGTGAGTTAAATTGAATAAAATATATATATTTAGTTGAGGTTACGAAATTTTCTCTTATTTCTTAAAAAAGATTACTGATGTGATCGAATTGACGTATTTCAAAAACGTCTTTTTTGAACTCCTTGGCTATTTCGAGTCGTTCGTTACATTTATTCATACTTGAAATTTTCTTGCATACAATGTTCTCAGTTTTCAATCAATCTGATGTTAGATTGATTCAAAATATTATAGATATATGGATACTCACTAAATCGGGATTCCCTTTCGAAAAGATCAATTGTCTATGACTCATGAATTACTACTAGAACTAGAATACAATGCCGAAACAAAACAAATGCCTATACCTTTAGCATTATATTTTTGTCACATGCACATGGTATAAGAACAAATATGTCCTCATTAAATATTATTTCCCTTTGAAACGTGCAATTGATTGAAACTTAAGAACTGAAAACTCAGCAATTCCAGACTCATATTGACAGTACTTTCTTCTAATTTCGACGATAACCTCTTTTCTGGGTACGATATCCATCAAATAACTTGCGCGACAATCAACGTTTCGTCGTCGATGGCCATCACCAGCGAGTCGGTGCAGCAAGTGTTCGTGTTCTCGATGCCAATCATCTTGATCGGATCATATTTGGCTAGCCCTCAAATGTTTAGTGCTCATCAAGAAATATCATTTCTTTTGGAAAAGTTCGATAATCGTTCGTCACTCAATTCGAGAGTCATATCGACAGAACATCCTTCCTATTTTGAGGAGAACCGTTTCATCCCAACGTTTCGTCGTCGATGGCCGTCACCAGCGAGTCGGTGCACGTTTTCGTTTTTCTCGATGCTGATCTTGATCGAGTGATCTTTGACGGGGCATCAAAGATTTGATATATTCATCAAATATCATTTCCTTTTGGAGAAGTGTAATTGCTTGTAACTCAGAAACTGAGCGATCCAAGATTCATATATTGACAGCACTTTCTTCTTGTAAAAACTTGTAAAAAGCCAACGTTGGTTTAGTTCATTGTACCAGTATATCACCTGACGAAGCTACTGTGTTCGCGAAGCATGTCGTGTGTTTGAGAATTTTGTGGAAATCTTATCGTTTGTGAAGTTTTTACATTTGCCATGGATTTAGTAGTGACGGCCGTGTCAATTCAAAACACTTTCTTCTTATTTGAACGAGAACCTCTTATCCTGAACACTCAGTTCGCAGCATATTGTATCAAGTTACCAACTACCTGTTGGTACCACGATTTCAAGAAACTAACTAATTAGAAAAAAATGCCTACTTTCCCGCTGCCCTTGTAATGTCGTTGAAGAGGTAGTCCGCGATCAGCAACGTTTCGTCGTCGATGGCCGTCACCAGCAAGTCGGTTCCCGTTTTCGTGATCTCGATGCTGATCTTAATCGAGTCATATTTAATGAGGCATCAAAGTTTTGGTATACTCATCAAATATCATTTCCTTTTGTAAAAGTGCAATTGCTTGTACCTCAGAGATTGAGCGATGGAAGATTCATACATTAACGGCACTTTCTTCTTATCCTAACGACAACCTCTTTTCATGAACACTCAGTACGCAGCACTTTGTATCAAGTCACCAACTACCTGTTGCTACCAAGATATCAAAAAACTAAGTATAATTAGAAAGAGAAATGCCTACCTTCCCGCTGCCCTTGTAATTCATGTCGTTGGAGAGGTAGTCCGCGATCAGCAACGTTTCGTCGTCGATGGCCGTCACCAGCGAGTCGGTGCACGTGTTCGTGTTCTCGATGCTGATCTTGATCGAGTCATCCTTGGCGAGGCGGCAATGCGGCGGCGGCGACCGGATCTCCTCTTCGGACTGCGCTGCCGCCACCCGGCCGTTCGCTAGGCGCAGAGAGGGAGCGCGCCGCGCGTTGCCGCCCCCGCCAGCGCCGCCGCCGCCGCCGCAGCCACCCCCACCACCGCCGGCGCGTCTCTCGTCGCCGCCGCCGTCCCTGCAACACGGAGAAGGGGGGGTTAGCACGTGGTCGGTAGAAAAGGGGAGATGAGTGGCAGGCGTGCATTATTTTATTGAGGTGTTGGCGGATGTGTGAAGTGTCCGTGTGGGCAGGAGGATGAATTAATCTGGGTTACTTGTGAGTCGTTAATCTATGCTTGTACGAATTTTCAGTAGTGATCTTGAATAAGGAAATGACAGTAGTATGGAGCCAATTTTGAGTAGGGATGACGATATTCAGTTTCTCAAATGTATTAGGTGCATGTACCAAATTTACTCACTGTATATAAATGTAAATAAAGAAAAATCGTTTTGGTTAGTGGTGAAACAGGGTAGTGTGTTATCGTGCCAAAAGTTCTAGTCTCCGATATACCTGTATATAACGAATCATTATGTTCACATGAAACATTCATCTTGAAACTAGTCTCGGAATATGTGTTCTTCAAGCTGTTGAAGGCCTGCTACAAAAACTCACTCACCCCGTATACAAAAGGAAGAACAACGAAACCCGAAAGTCGATCGACGACAAAAGTTTATTACAAACAACAATGTATGCATATGTAACTATAGTTTCAGGGTGATCTACCGACGGTGGAAAACAATTTGTTAGTTAGTTGATTTCACCAAAGTGTAGAAATAATGCAAATCATCGTATGTAATACAACAGGTGTATTGATTATCGAAATACCTCGCTGAATACAAATCCCTTTGATTTTGAGAACAAAATTATATCAGAAGGAAGAAGGAAAGCTCAAATTCATCTCCACTACTTCATTACTAATGTGAATCAATCGAGGAGACATGTTTCTGACTTATAAAAGTCCATTTTCAGCCGTATTCAGAAGTTACTACAAGCAAAGGCATGTGTTAATATACATATTATAAATTGCTTGTAGTAACTTCTAAATACGGCTGAACATGGATTTTTTTAAGTCCGAAACGAGTCCCCTCGATTGATTTACATCAGCAATAAAGTAGTGGAGATGACTCTGAGCTTTCCTTCTTTCTTTTGAAAAATTCCACTCCACTTTGAGTAAACATGGACTTCTACCAGAGATTAACCAAATTAACCAATGAACATCTTACTAAAATCAAGATAACGCCTTGTATATCAGTTATAAAAGACTGTAGACACGAAGGTGATTTGGAACCACTAATATTCTCTATCTGCGGGTATTGTTTGTACATTTGAATCTGAAACACCCTGTATAGAGCCAAAACGTCATCAATCTCATTGCGAGTTTCATTGTGTAACATTACGTTTTGTCTCTTCCTCTAGAACTTTCGTAACCATATACACCGAGATATACACTCATTATGGAATTTTTAAACTTCGAATTAAGCAAGCGGGATTAGAAATCTATTCTGTTGGATTTGACGGCATGATTCATGACACGGTTTCAATTGTAATTACACTAATGAGGTGGATCGTCTCCGATGGTTGAAATATGGAACAAACAGATATACCTATCGCAAAGAAGTTCAAAGAATATTCAGCATAATCTACGGTTATTTTCCACTTAATTTTATAAAATTCAATTCTGGTGTGTAAGTAACTGCACCAAGAATAAAGTTAATTATAATGTCATAAAGGAAAGTATAGAAAATACCGAGGAATCCCTTGGAATTCCTTGGAATTCCTTGGATTCCCTTGGAATATCTTGGTTGCCTTTGGAATCCCTTGGATTTCCTTGAAATTCCATGGATTTCCTTGGAATTCCTTAGATTTTCTTGGAATTCCTTGGATTACCTTGGGGTTCCTTGAATTTCCTTGGAATCCCTCGAATTTCCTTGGAATTCCTTGGATTTTTTTGGAATTCCTTGGATTTTCTCGAATTTCCTTGGAATTCCTTGGAATTCCTTGGATTTTCTTGGGATACCCTGGAATTCCTTGTGTGAAGTGCAGTATAATTCTGGTGTACAAACAACTGGAATTTCTTATTATTCCTTGTGGAATTGAAGTTTGGTGTACACAATTTTGACCGCGGTTTACTCCTCGGAAAATACATATGTGACAACTGCAAAATGTACTTAAGTATAGTGAGGAAAATGAGAAATATAGGAACTTGATGAGTACTGGGCATAATCGAAAAAATGTCAAGATATCATGTATAAACTCACTGTGAACATATATTTTATTTTCATACTATAGTCGATTTGAGATGAGTATATTATATAACCGGTCACTTAGTTGGTAATATACCAAGTAATATAGGTACTGTACCTACACCAACTGTAAGTGGTCGGTTCGATCATAATAAATAAACAATGTACTTGTGAAATATAATTGAGAAATGTATGTTTCATTAGTGAACTGTTTATTTGTATCAGTAAAATGTCATCTGTTAGAATTATAGAAATTCATTGAATACATATCAAAAGTCTACTGCGTATTTCTTGGAATATATATTTTTTATTATGAAAGCATCATTATTGCATCATGTCAAAGAGACACCTTATGAGAAATTGAATGAAACAAGCGGTCGCTTTGATTTCTCATGCATGATGTGAGAATATGCAATTGGATTTCAGAATTTTACGGAGATTCACGGTGTCTAGACGAATTGCATATTAGAGAGTTGAAGTGTTGTCATGAACGTCAACGTAAACGTAGGAATTGACAGCTACGCATGCGCATTTTCCAATTCTTCACGTTTGCGTTGTTAGTGGGCTTACGGGTGTACGTTATCTCACGTTCCTTCACGTATACCTTAAATATCAACGTACGTTAACCAAACTATACTCAAAATATGCCGATGAGTCAAAATTATCAAATTCGAGATCACCAACGAGTTCTGCATCAAGGAGTCCTCAAATTTTGACAGGAATAAATGTTCGAATCTAAACACACAACCAAAAATGACCAATACAAACCGAAAACAAAATGTATTATTACGTTATATGATGACAGTGACGACCAAAGTGGCGACTTCAACTCAATTTAACGACAATACGTAAACGTTATTTTTCGTACGTTAACGTCGACGTGAAGGTCTACGTACAGTGATTACTTCAACTCTCTATTGTGTTATATGCCTACTTTGTATGTATGCAATGACAAGAAATTTAGTCGAACTAATGGAATTATATGATGATTACCTGATTAGTGATTTCTAACTAATCCTCAATGGCAGTCATGAACCCTGAATAGATGCAACACACATGACTTCATTTTTCATTTCCAGCAGGGATACAAGTCGTGAAATAAAAAGTACATTACACATCAAGGGACAGAAATGCAGGATTTTTGCCAAGGTGCGATTTGTAGCTCGAGGGCGAAGCTTATACTCGTTTCAGAGAAGGTTATTCCGAAAAGAAAGCGCAGAGCTATTCAGAAAATGTAAAGTTGATATAACCTCCCTAGGGAGAAAATATGTCACATTACCTTCCTAGGGAATAATACGAGACTTTTGCCCCTCTTTTGTTACCAGAGAAACTAACTTTTACTCCGGCCGGCGTGAAAACACGAACTGAATCGGGCCTTCCTGATGGAATAGCCGAACGAGAAAGATTATAATAATCCACTGGACACTTGCAACTCGCATTCGCATACCTACAATAGTCTGGTACCTGGGTACTACCACTTATGTCCGGTGGTACTACGTATGGGAGCACAGTGAACTAGCCTCATTGAAAATATGTTAATTGAACATTGTTCCTACTCTTATATAGTGGTCTAAGATCTACTAAAGGGGAATACAAATTTTATTCAAAGTGTTGTAGATTCCTCATCAAATTTATTTCAATTTCTAGAGAGTATAGGTAGGTACCTATGATCAATTGAACAAAATCATCGCCAGTGAATGAAAAACTGTCAGAAGCTCAGTTCACTAGGATGATTTTTCTTGGCGTAGGTATAAACATAAATGAAGCTCCATAGTTAGCGTCCAGCGTTTCAAATGTTAGTTATATAGTTAGTCAATCTCTGCAATATGTGAATCATGTATAGAGTTAATAATAACCTTCATATGGACTGCAACCTTCATCCCGGCAATGACCTGTGAAAAATACCTGTTATACAATACCTATCCACTCAAGAATAAAATATAAGGTTCCCTGTAGATCATGATTCAATGTCACATTCTCATTCATGTTCTTTAATTTGTATTGAGCTTTTTTCAAGCGATCTCAATGCCTTTGCTGATTTATATTGCTCTACACAATTATATCACATTTTTCCTCGTCAATGTCAAGTACAATGCCATTGCAATAACTAATTATTATCGTTTAATTTTCGAGCAATGTGGGTATTACAGACGACTACTGGAAACTGGAATAAGCATTCAGCTGATTTATAAACCCGTTGTTGAATGATTGATCATTAAAATTGGGTTAAATACGATGAATATGCTTATTGTTACGACCATGACACTGCGTATCTGTCTAGAAGCCTACACAAAAAATTATTATCCGCGCGAAAAAGCAGTTTTTCTCCAGGCGATAGGTTTAGAAAGTGGCTTTTCTATAACACTTGAAACAATCAGGAAAGTTGTACTTTCTCTACCTGGGCATAGAAAGTGGCTCCTCTCTGACACTTAACAGGCAGGAAAAATGTACTTTCTCTGCCTAGGCAGGAAACGTTTGTTGCTATGCACACAAAATGATAAAGTTTTCAATAAAATTGGTTTAATAACATTAGGAGAAAAAATTATATGTTTCACACGACAGCAAATGTATACCTTTTCAACTTCAATTTCGGAATCGGTAAGTTATATTTCGGAAAAAGTAATCTCGATTTCAGAATTGGTTAGTTCGATTTCAGGAATGGTGAACTCAATTTCAGAATCGGTGAGATGAATTTCAGAAAAAGTCCATTCAATTTCAGAAATGGTAAGTTGTATTCCAGAATGGGTAGGTTCAATTTCAGATAATAAATCCTTATATCTGTTTGGAATGTTTTCAATTCAAAAAGAGAAGATTGTTTACAGTGGATGAAACGGTGTTTGAGAGCGTACGTTCGAAATGGGCATCCTGCAGATACCATAGTGGTAGTTCTGG